GAGGCGACTGCTGAAGCTGCAGACACATGGCACCAGAAGTGCACAGCACTGACGCTACCAGGCTAAACCCGGACTACACGGCGACAGGCGCAGCTGGCTCGCTGTGCTCCCAGGAGTGCTCACACTGTGGCTACCGGGCGCAGAGCCCCGGACTACTCAGGCCACAGGGGGTCGTGGCTCTCTGGACTACCAGGAGTGCTCACACTGTGGCTACCGGGCGCAGAGCCCCGGACTACTCAGGCCACAGGGGGTCGTGGCTCTCTGGACTTCAGGCGCTGCGGACGACAAGAGAGCTACCTCCACAAAACCTCTTCCAGCTGTCCCACACCCCTTTCACACACCCTCTGCTGTACCTCTAGCACTGCTCACACGCCACCCCCCTAGTACCACTCCGACGGCTCCAACACACCCACCCCCCTCAGCGGTAGCTGCAGCAGTGGGAGCCGGAGGAGGAGGAGGAGCAGGGGACGGCGCACACACCTGTCACCCCCACACTCGCCACCCCCAAACCCTAAAACAGGAGCGCGGGCAGCAGCAGGGGTGGGGCGCGGTCAGCAGCTCGGGGGACAGCGTGCGCAGGTCGAACGAACCGCGCGCGGGCTGCCCGGGCCGCGCGCGGGCCTGGCGCAGCCCGTACGGGCCGCGCGCGGGCCTGGCGCAGCCCGTACGGGCCGCGCGCGGGCCTGGCGCAGGCCGTACGGGCCGCGCGCGGGCCTGGCGCAGCCCGTACGGGCCGCGCGCGGGCCTGGCGCAGGTCGTACGGGCCGCGCGCGGCCCGCGCGGGGCCCAGGGGCGCTTCGACGGGCGACGGGGGCGTTTCGACGGGCGACGGGGGGCGCTTCGACGGGCGACGGGGGCGCTTCGACGGGCGACGGGGGGCGCTTCGACGGGCGACGGGGGGCGCTTCGACGGTGGGAAACCGCCGCGCGCCTCGGGGCACACGGCGGGCAGAAAACCGCCGTGCTTTCGGAGCGCGCAGCGAGCAGAAAATCGTAGAAACCCTAAAAACGCGGTAGGCAGAAAACGTCGCGCGCCCGAGGCGCGCGAGAAGCAGAACAGCAGCGGAAGCATCGGGTGGGCCCACCCATAGGATCGACCCAGGAGGGTCGACCTGCTCTGATAGCATGTTGAGAAAGCTAGGCAAACGATAGAAACAGCAAAGAGAGTTTTGCACTAGCAGCAGGTAGGATACATATAGGAAACCCTAGTTTGGGTTGTACTCACTATAGAGTACCCCATTGCAGGCTAGACAAACATAACATTCTGACACTTCTCCCGTTTGACGTTCTTCTTATTGTATAGGTCAATCTCCTTCTGCTCGGAAAGGAGTGTGGCTCACAGAGCGGACTCCGAAATCGTTGCTCGAGCGCAGAGCAGTGACTGCCATTGTCGTCAGCCGGGGCCGAGGCCTGAGATGGCCATGGAGATAAACATGTCGTCGGGAACAGTTCCGCCGCATTTTTTTACGTGGTCGCGCAGATTGCGGCACCAGTTAACATACTGTCTCGCTTTCTCTCCTTGTTTCATTTTAACCGAAGTCAGCTGACTGAGTAGACGACTCATTGTGACTGGATCTGTTGCCATGTATGAGTTGCGCAGGTGTTCCCAGGATGCTTGCGCGGGAGCCCACTCTGTCTTGTAGGGATGAATGCCGAGCTGTTCTTCGGGAGAGAGATTTCGAAGGAGAGCGGTGTACGCGAGGAGGGATTCGTGGTAGTATTGATGCTTCTCCTGGATGGACCCTTCCGAAGGAAAAGGTAAGCATCCAGATCTGAGCGGTTGTTGCGAGAAGCTCGAATTCAAAGCTCCACGTGTAAAAATCCTTGCCGTCGAAGGGAATAGAGATCTTGAGTTTTGAAGTCAAAACAAACTTGGTTTGCATGGTAGCAATTGCTTCAGACTGTGCACATTGCGGGTTGTCTTGTGCAGGAGCTGAACCTTGACGATTGTCAAAGGTGAAAGACCTCTCGGAGTTGACGCAACGGTCTTCTCCAGGGAGTGGAATTCCACCAACTCCACTGACGTAGCTTGAGCCGTCGATGCGTGCGACTAGCTGTTCAACGACTGCGGCGCTGACGGAGGTCACTGCTGATGGCGTATTAGTCGTAACTGGTGGTGGGCCCGGTGAGTCTGTAGTGGCTTTCCCCTCGGGAGCCATGATGATGCAGACCTTGTGATGTATTGAATAAGATTATAAGGAGTTTGTTCTAAGTAGAACATAGAATCAGAAGAACTTATAATCCACTCTAGCTCTCATACCATGCTGATATAACCGAAGGATCAAGTGAGTAGGATAAGTCTGCTAGATCTGAGAGGAGACTGTTAAGTCTCTGTAGTGACCTTGTTGAGAAATAAATGAAAGAGAACAAGATAATTATAAGATAGGAGTACAAGAGATTAAATAGCAGAACTAGCTAGCCATGTACTCTTAGGGGTACATTCTCTTATTAAGTGTATTACATAGCTACAGTACCCACGACTATTGCTATGCTCGACAGTTACCAGGTTGCAGCGAACAACTGTCGCGTGGTTACTGGGTGGTCAAGGGCCACGGCCGTTGACTGCCCTCGATGATTGACCTTCGGGTGACCCTCGATCTTCCGCATGCCCTGTATGAGCTCTTGCGGTACTGGTACAGTGGAATGTCTTCGGGAATGCTTATAATAACCTTTCGGTTATTCCAACATCTTAGACATTTCCGTCAGTCTCGTGCAGTACGATGAATGTTCGCGACAAATTTCATTGGCATCAACGGTTCCTGTTCGTCGACCTTTGACATGCGTCCGAACTCCCGCCAGAGATCGTGTTCATCTCTACCGCCCGACATACATCCGCCACATCTACGGTTTTCATTAAACGGCACATTTCATCCCGACATTCGATCACAATCGTCTGATCAACATCGACGGTTGAGATTCGCCTGGTCAACTGGTCAGCCACGCTTCAACTCGACAGTCAACGCCTTCTACACCGTCAGATCAGTTTCAACTAATTCATTACTGTGGAGGTTGCTCCTAGCGAGGACAGCCCGAACAGTTCGCGTCAGTTTGGGTTCGGCCTAGTCTTCGGCACGAACTACATACCGAGTCGCCCCGCACCAATCGCGACACATCCAACCCTCGCACATCACGAGGTTCACGCCTAGCATGTATTCACCCTATATTTGCTCGCTTTCTTCGTTCTTGATATTCTATATTCACCCGCACCCTGTTTAGTACAACTCATAACAGATTCCAAAGAACCTGGATTTTTACAGAGTGTCGGACAATAGCGAGATACGCAGCCTTTCTTCTTGTCTCAAGGCACTTGCTCACCAGCCACGTCAAGCCTTCTTGACGTTGCTCTTCTCTTCAGCCCACGTCTGGCGAGTTTCACATCGGCGCTTTCAATTGACAGGGACCGTCCAATTGGTGGACGCTGCACAGTTATCGCCCACGACTACTGACAGTGTGCCTTCTTGACCTCCCTTTCTTGACGTTTCTCCCCTTATGGCGTGTACAAAGTTCTGCATGTAGCTCGATGTCGAGCGATGTCGGTGAATCCTGACGGTTGGAACCGTCGATCCGAGGGTTGACATTTAATGACATCCCTCTGATGTTCACTTCAAATACGCCGTTAGCTGTAAGTTACAGTACGAGGTAGCAGTCAGTCCGAGTGTCGTTACACGCATTAACAGATCATGGTGGTGTGGTGGTTCCTAACCAAGCGTATACTCCAAAAGCCTTAGCGCCGCGCCTTCGAAACCGAGCAACCACGTGCGGCGAGCTTTTCACATTCGGCGCCAAGGTCAATAACCTTCACTCGACTAGTGAACCCTTCATTCCGATTGGTCGACTTTTAGCACAACGAGGGCCACACGTTCCCACCCACGTCCTCCCCTCTCCCCCCCTCCCCCTTCTGGGGACTGGCGCAGATGGTGAACCGACTCGGTGGGATTCGGGACCCACATTGATAAGAATCTTCTGGACTCGATTTGTGCCGCCCATCATCATGTCATGCCAGCTTGAACGACTGGTGAGGCCGCGAGTCGCACCTTCAAGCTGGCCGAAGCTCGCAGTTTGGTCCGGCTGAAAATCCCGACGCTCGCTCAATTGACCGCGGCCCGAAGCAGCGCGAGGCCTGGCGCGTCGCGACCTGGTACGCCGCCGACGGAACTGAGTTTATACCTCTTCGCCTGCATTACAGTCGCACCCGATTTTCGTTTCAGAATTTCACCAGACTCGATCTCTAGTAGCTTTCACCCTTCCTCCGCTGCTACTACCAACATTCAGCGTGTCGCACTTCTCGTTCTCCTCTGTGAGCACTCTTTGCTCCTTTGCTCTCTCGTACGACAACCAAGTTACTTTTTAAAAATCTCATTTTTGAGATTTTTTTTGTTTTTTTTTTTTTTTTTTATTTTTTATTTCTCAAATATGGCACCTCTCGTCACCCTCCTCTGTGAGCAAAGAGTCTTCACTCCTTCACCCCCCTACACGACTATCGAATCCCACTATGTCTCGTGCCATCGCGTGGCATAAATCCTTTCCCGGCGTCGTCAGCGTTTTTCTTTATCCACGTCGTTGCGGAATACTATTCACCCTTGAAGCCGTTCTCTGCACTTGCTATTCACCCTTGAAGCCGTTCTCTGCACTTACTGTTTACCCTCGAAGCCGTTCTCTGCACTTACTTACCCTTAAAGCCATTCTCTGCCCTTACAGTTACCTTTGAAGCCGTTCTCCGTAACCCCCGTCCTTCCCCCATCCCACCCCCATCCCTCCCCCATCCCTCCTCTCCCCCCTCCCCACCCTTCCCCTGCAGCAGCAGCGGCGGCGGGAATATCAGGGAACCGGCAGTGCCACCAGCGCTACCCCTTGGCTGGCATGCAATCATTCATAAAGCTTTGAAACTCTTCCCCCCAACCCCACACCACCCCCCCTTCCCCGGCAACAGCAGCAGCAGCAGCAGCAGTGGCGGGGGGACATAATGGCTTTTGCTGTTTTCGCGCCCCTATTTTTTTTCACATGGTGATGGTGATGGTGATGGTGATGGTGATGGTGATGATGCTCCCCCGTCCGGTGCGGCGCTCTTCACGGTCGCGGCCGCGTCTGCCTCAATCTCTCCGCCATTCCTTACGGCACACAGCGGCAGTGCTTCATCCTCATCGTCGTCCTCATTCGAGGCCGCGAGTCAGGTTGCCAAGCCCTTGGCGCGGAGAGGGAAGATTGTTGGTGAGTCTACTGTTGTGCTCTTTGACCCCTGTGTCGTGCGTGAGGTTTGCCTAAAATATGCTTCACCCACCCAAGTTTATTTAGAAAGTTACCCTTTACGTCAACCTGAAAGTATACGTTTGGCACAAGCTTGATTCATGCGCCCCTATATCTGCCGCTCCCGTTGCCAGAAAATTTGCTTGTTTCATGCGCCCCTATACCTGCCCCTATACCTGCCGTTCCCTCTGCCGTTCCCGTGCCAGACAAATACGTGGCTAAGTTGCGACCTACTAAGGTCAACGGGAAAGTCATTGGATGCAAAGGTGCATCGGGAAGAATGGTCATGAAGATCACAAAGTGCGTGATTGTATCTCCCACTGCCGTTGTTGTTCCTCGTTATCACTCAGACTGACAGGATTAGAATTCTCTTGCATTCTTGAGTGCCCTCGCAAAAATCATCCACCAGTCTCACGCGTTCCCAGCCGCCAGCCCCACCCACCTTTCCAAACACGTCCCATACCTCCTCCCCCCTCCCCCTCCCCGTCCCATACCTTCCTTTCTTTCCCACCCCTTCCTCCTCCCTCCCTCTCACAACCGTCTCCCTCTATTGGCAGGTATTCTGCAACGAATTACCGATACTCCTTTACCACCAACCTCATAAAGCTTCAAAACGGGGGAGGCTCTCCTGGTTTCGTGAGTTACGCCCATTCCTGCACTGCTAGTAACGAGTTTGCCGATCTGATCTCCTGGTATAACATCGCTACCGACAAGGACGGTCGCGCCAGGCGCTACAGCTTCCAAGCCTTCTCGCTTTCAGAGGGGCCCCTGGCTGACATGCGTCGGGGAGTAGCGCAGCGGCTGAGCAATGGCAATTACTTTCAGGCTGGTTACACGACGACTGGGGGGATAACTGTATACGCACTCTGTGGGAAGATTAAGAAAGTGGTGTAATTATTAGCTAGCTTTGGCTTCTTTTGGCTGGCTTATGTTGATCATGATGCTCTTAGAGGATGCAAAGCATAGCGCTCATGTAAGATTGGAGCAGTTCTTTGGAATGCCCTTGTCACAGCTTTGAAAGTGTTTGTATCGGAATTGTAGTTGGATGAGTGTGTTGTCTCGAATGGTGCCCACATGCGGATTTATCGAAGTTGGGTTCTGAAGAGTGTGTCATGGTCGAGCAAAAGCTGGCAGGGTGTTTAGACTGTAAGGGGGATGGAGTTGGCCTGTAAGTTGTCGCACGACTCTTTCGCAAGCAGCTGATTCAGCTAGTAAGCTTCGCTAGCGCCGAGGCGACATTGGCGAAATCTTTAATAGAACCGAGGCGACATTCGCGAAAGCGCTGAGTCTTTTCGCCGTTTTCCCCCCGCCGAATCACTAAAGTGTGCTGTGGGGAGGTGTCACTGGGAGATGCTTCGCTGTGAGGCTCGGCCTTCATTTTTCTTTCCTGTCCCTCAGCCATGGCGCTTGATTTGGGCCAACATCATAGACATGCAATATAGTATGGTAACCCTATTCGATTGTATGCAAAACCGTCGATACCCCAGTTCTGCTGCGCAAGTTTGTCTGGTTCCGCCACTCAAAACACTGTGTAACAGCAGACGCAGGACAATAAAGGAAAATATCGGTTGCGTTGACGATTTCGTATCTTCGTGGTTCTTACCGCGCCCCGTTCGGCGCCTAACAAATTTTCCTCCGGGCTACTATTTTCCGCTAAACGCGCACGATACATTTTACGAAAAATCCATTGGAATGAAACTACACGGGGTCCATTTTGAAAGAATATATTGCACCCAATAAATTGCTACCTGCATTTGTTAGGGCAGGGCTGAAAAACAATAAAACCCCTAGCGACCTGGACGCATTTCTGGGAGGGATCAACCCTAAACACGGGAAAGGACATAGTTTTAGGGTTGATGCCTCCCTGACGCATCCTTTCCGATTGGGTTTTATTATTTTCTTGGCCCGAAAAAATCACGTTTTAGTGCAAAGTCAAACGCGGTAGTCATAAGCTAAAAATTAAAAATGAACGCGCTATTAAGACAGCTTGTCAATAACTCCAAAACTGAGGTAAGACGGTTTTGCATACCATTGCATAGGGTTACCAGACTAAGTTGCATGTCTATGATGTTGGCCCCACCTGATTTTCTCTCTACTTCCAGCTAACACTGCGTCTCTCGCCTCCCGCTGCTATTCTTCCGCTAAAATAACCGGGTTTTACCTACCGCATGCAGATCTTGCTAGTGCAGCTTTGCAAACGCATGCAATAGACGGTTCAGGGGAAAATGGTCGGCTTGCCGGCAAAAACATGCGGTTACCCGTGTTTAGGGTTGAGGCTCCCTCAATCGCATGCCATCCAGATGGGGTTTATTTTTTTCTGACCGCGGGCAGATAACAGTCCGTCAGCCTCTTTCCCCTGCGGCCGTCTATTGTATGCGTCTGCATAATTGCGCTGGCATAAGTTGAATGCCGTTAAAAAAGCCCAAAAATAACCGCTTTTCGGATGCGCGCGTTTTGTTGTTCAGCCACCACTGCAACGGTTTCTCCCTACCAACGGTCAGGAAACGGGGGAGTTCGAGATCGACCCGCAATCAAGGCACGGACGATCAGTGCAGTCTTAGGCGGAGGACCGTGCGACACGAGTGGTAACCCGCCTCACCAAACCTCGTCACGCTCTCTCTTGTCATCGCAGAGAACAGGGTCTTGAAAACTTATGGCATTAGCGGAAGAATAAGGTCCGGAAACGGTCCAATCTTGACATGGTACGGAGAACAGCTCAAAGCAAATAGCGGACTGAACCTCGCCGCACCGACCTCATCGGATCACGGTCGCTACCGTGGAGACTCGCAAAGGCCTGATAGTGCTTTCGCCGATGCGGCGCGGGACCATTCTCGGAATAACCGCTCTGGACTGTTGTTCCTCGGCCCTCGGTTTTTCACGGTTACATCATTCTCGGTTCGGTTTGGTTAACAAATCAATGGTTTTTTTGCGCAGTTCAACAATGTTTGATTGAAGGCCTCGACCATCCCGAGCATTTTTTTTCAAACTTGCGGACTAGCGGCTGTTCCAATCCAGATCGTAGGAGCACCATGCGTTATAGTCCAGATCGTAGGAGCACCATGCGTTATAGTCCAGATCGTAGGAGCACCATGCGCTATAGTCCAGATCGTAGGAGCACCATGCGTTATAGTCCAGATCGTAGGAGCACCATGCGTTATAGTCCAGATCGTAGGAGCACCATGCGTTATAGTCCAGATCGTAGGAGCACATGCGCGGCTTTCACGGAAAGAGGACACGAGAAGCTTTTGCGTGGAACGGAGAGGCAACTGGAGCAGGAGCGAGAGGGGCAAATGAGGCGGCCGAAAATGCCAGAGAAGAAATCCTGTTTCCTGGGCGCTACGTGTCGAAGCGGGAGCGGTTGAGGATGGACGGGCAGAAAAAGGGCTTCTCCACTCACGGACAGCCAATCGACAAAATTTCGGCGGAAAATGTTGCGCGAGAAACCGCGACCAACAAGGGAGCTCTTCTGGACGCGCCCGATTGGATTCGGAACGCGGCGGCGAATCAGGAGGGTGCTGCTGAGCGATTTGTTGTGCCGCGGCGCCTGATGTGCCGGTGAGTTTCCCCTTCCCGCTTCCCGACTCCCGCTTCTCTTCCGCTCCCTGCCCCAACCCCCCCCCCCCCCTTCCCCCCTCCCCACTCCCCCCTTTTATTTCTAAAGGCGACTCAAAATCGCCGCGGTGCCTGACGTGGTGAGCTTTCTCGTTTTCCTCCCTCCGCCACCCCAACCCCCCCTTACCTCCCTCTCAACACTCCCAACCCCCATCTCTCCCCATTACGTTTCTTTGTTTCCATAATGTTTCCCCCGTTTCCCCTTGTCTCCCCTTATCTTCTCTCCCCAAATCCCCCTATCTCCCTGCTTTCCCCCCGATCCATCAGGATCTAGTCAGCCCACTCACGCCCTGCCACGTGTGTCAGGTGGTCCCCACAGTATGGCCACCTGCTGACGTCAGCAGGGATGGATGGGGCAGTCAAAGTGTGGAATCCTTTTGAAGAAAGTCTAGGAGAACGGGCAGATTCTGTGAAAACTTATCCTCTCTGCCCGGTCAGGGTGTTTCATGATCACCGGGCAGCAGTGAAAGATTCTTCACCGGGTGTTTCATGGCTCATAACAGACAGCCTGGATGCTACAGTGCGAGTTACTGACGTGGAATCGGGAGCTACAGTAGCGGAGGTTCGTCAGGGCGGCGCCATGTCAGTTTGCCGCCTGGATCCTTCCAACCCACAGATATTCGCCACAGGATATGCGAATTTTCGGGTCGGTAGAGTGAGATTCTGGGATATGCGAATGCTGGGCGGTGCGGGTGGTGGGCAAAGTGACTGTATCAAGAGTGACTGTGAAATGGGTGATAGTATCGAGATATTAAATGGAGGCAGCACGGCCAATCACAGCAGCAGCACAGCAGCTGCTTCTTCTGAGCCATCCAAGCCTGTGCTGGAATTTCCAATGGACGGTGGAGATCTCCTTGATCTTGCTTTTGATCCATCTGGATCGTTCATGGTGACATCAGCGGCGGATTGCACGCAAGTGCAGGGCCTTGATAAGGGGTTGAGAGTTTGGGATGTGAGAAAAGCTGTATCGGTATCAAATCAAATCTACATTGGAAGGATACACGTGTCCATCTCTTGCCATCCACCCATCTGGATCGCACTTTATCGCACAATCCAACGACGGCTACATCACGATCTTTCCGTGTACCCCTCCCTATAAGATGAATAAGTATAAGAGGTTTGAAGGGGATCAAAAAGTTGGGAGTTATGCTGTAAGCTGCAGTTTCTGTGACGACGGAAATGTAGTTGTATCGGGTTCGGCGGACGGGAAGGTAGTGTACTATGATTGGAAGAAGGGATGCTGTATAGGAAAAGTGGTGGCTCATAAAGGGGTATGTAGTGTAGCTGACACACATCCTGTCCTGCACTGTGTTGTTGCATCATGTGGCTGGGATGGGGATGTGTGTGCTTGGTCAGAAGGAAAAGGTGGTGGTAAGGGCCTGTACACATTGTTAGCAAACTTCATGTTCGGGGGCATGTTATGGTTTACCAAAAAAGTGTGGCTAGTGCACACCAGCAGCAGCCTCTCACTTGTTGGTCGATTCAAGAAGTGCTTAGAGCTTGTAAGCTGAGCGCAGCTGCTGCAGAGTGGTGTGGGTGACAGTGGCAGGGGTGGAAGCAGCAAGTGCCTCGTCCCACAGCTTGGACAGACCTGCAAGGCAGACGCAGAGCAGATGGGGAAGTGAGGCACAGTAGGCAAAGGGGGTAGCAGAGAGCCACTAGACACACAAGATGAGCTTACACTTCCAGCACTCTCGGCACTCTCAGCACTCTCAACACTCAGAACAACCTCCAGACTCACATTGTTTTTTCTTATTAGGCATGCAGACGAGGTGGATGGGGAAGCATGGCACAGTAGGGAAGGCATAGAGCAGAGGCACTGCTACGCCAGAACTATCAGCTTAGATCAGTCAGTGCACTCACTGCATCCTCCTCTGCACTGAGTGTGAGACCCACGTTGCTTGTCAGCAGCAGACATGCAGACGAGGAGGATGGGGAAGCGCGGCACAGACGGGAAGGTGGAAAGCAGAGCCACTAGGCACGCACTATCAGCTCTCAGCAATCTCTGCACTCATCACACTTACGTTGCTTGTCAGCAGCAGACATGCAGACGAGGAGGATGGGGAAGCGCAGCACAGACGGGAAGGCAGAGAGCAGAGCCACTGCTGTTGGGGCATCCGTGCTGGGAGGGAGAGAGGGCGCGGTGGGGAAGGGTGGGGAGAGAGGGCTGTGAGGAGAGGGCAGGGAGAGAGGGCTGTGAGGAGAGGGCAGGGAGAGAGGGCTGTGAGGAGAGGGCAGGGAGAGAGGGCTGTGAGGAGAGGGCAGGGAGAGAGGGCTGTGAGGAGAGGGCAGGAAGAGAGGGGCGTGAGGAGAAGGCAAGAAGCGGAGCCAGTGGTGCTGTGCAAAAGAGTGAGCCGATTAATCGAGTCGACTAAAAATACTGTGAACATGGACATGGTCAAGATATGTGACGCGAGATCTAGCGAGATGCTGGCAAAGAGCGCGCATGCATGCATGTACCCGGAGGGGGCATGCATGGATGTGTCAAGAGAGGAAAGATGGACAGATGCATGCAATCAGATGAAAAGATATAAAACATTGTAGGGCACTGGGTTGTTGGAGCTCCCATGGTGGAGAACTGCATTGCCGGATACAACAGCACCATGTTTGCCTATGGCCAGGTGTGCCATCCCCCAGAAGCGCCACAAAGGGGAGGACCCACCTTGGGGAGGCCACACCTGGCCATAGGCGAACATGGTGCTGTTGTAGCCGGCAATGCAGTTCTCCGCCTTGTGCATTCTAACAACCCACTGCCCGTCACCTTGACTGGATTGCAATCGAACCTTCTTAAAGTAGGTTCCACTGCAGCTTTACCAATTTGTCACTGAATGAAGGAACAAAACACTTGTAAGTTGGTGTTCCCCGGAAGAGAGTTGAAAGGATGACGGAGAGAGCTGCAGCGAGGAGCGGTGGAGAGAGGGAGAGTGAGAAGGGAACAGGACAGAAAGAGGCAGTGGGGCAGGCATTACCTGAATAGGGTTGAAAGAATGATGGAGAGCACTGCAGCGAGAAGAGGCGGAGAGAGAGAATCCTTGAAGATGGTTGAGAGGCGGGAAGGCGGGAGGGACTGCAGGGGGGAGAATTGGGGGAAGGGAAGGGATGGGATGGATTGAGAGGAAAGGTGAGAGGGGAGGGGAGAGGGGAGGTGAGAAGGGAGGTGAAAGGCTGGAGAAAGAGAGTCCTTGAGGATGGTCGACAGGCAGGCAGGCGAGAGGGACTGCAGGGGGAAAGACGGTGGGATGCGACGGAGTGAAGAGGGAGGAGAGAGGCCGGGGAGAGACAGTCTTAGAAGACGGTCGACAGGCGGGCAGGCGGGAGGGACTGCAAGAGCGGGAAATGGAGCCGGGGGGGAGGCGAGGGGTGGCTCTTGACTCGACTTGAAATGACCAAGCAGTGTCTTAGTGCGCAGCAAAGCATGTAGTGCTGAGCAGTGCACAGCCCTTCCGAGTCAACTCAACCCTGCGTTCTCCTCACTCATAGCCAGCACTGCATAGTCTTCTTTCCTCTCGCTTTCAGTACCACTCACAACTCACCACCACCTATTGGTACCACTCACACTCAGCCCTGCATCCCCCTCACCCATAGCCAGCACTGCACAGTCTCCATTCCTCCTGCTTTCCATGCCTTGCATATCAAACCAGCAGCAATATTGCATTCCACTCACCTTCACCTTGCTGTACCACTCAAAACCCACCTTCACCAGAGCAGCCTGTGCAGCATCTCATTTTGTAGCCATTGCCACCGCCTCTCAAACCCCAATGCTGACTGGTAGCAGGAGGGGCCACTGGGGGAGGGATCGACGCACCTACCTAAGCATGCTTGCTGTAAGCTGTAAAGTCAGCTTGTACCATTCCCACTACCCACCTTGATCAAGGCAGCCTGTGCGTCGTCACACCCCTGCAGTCACAACTCACCTTCACCTGTTTGTACCACTCACTACCCACCTTCACCAGAGCAGCCTGTGCGTCGTCACACCCCTGCAGCCGCCGCCACCGCCTCTCAAACTCCAACGCTGACTGGGGAGCAGGAGCGCCCACTGGGGCTGCTGCTGCTGCTGCCGTTGCTTCTACTGTTGCTGCGGCTGCTACCGCTGCTGGCTGCTGCTCCTGCTGCTGCCCTACCCCTTGCTCCTGTCTCAAGCCCCCCTCCCCTTTTTGCCGTCCCACCGCCATCATCTCAGCTGCAGCTGCCTTGTCTCGCAGAATCTCAGCCGCCCGTTCCACTGCCGTCTCATGTGCTGACGTCAGCTCTACACCCCGCAGCGACTTTCGGGTTGGCTCGTACGTCCCTTGGACCGCCACGTCATGCGCTGACGTCAGCTCGACCCCTTGCTGACTGGGCAAGGCAACAGCAGTAGCAGCAGTTGAAGGCGCGAGGGAGGCGGGAGCGGTGGAGAGGGAAGAGGGAGGCGGAGGAGAGGCGGAGAAAAGGGAGGGAGGAGCGGATGGAGAGGAGGCGGATGGCTTGGGGAGGGGAGAGGAGGAGTGCACTTGTGTAGCAGAAGTAGGGGACATGGCAGCTGTCGCACTTGCAGTGGAGGCGGGGAGAAGGGACGGAGGAGTGGACGGAGAGGAGGCAGATGGCTTGGGGAAATGAGAGGAGTCTGCTTGTGTAGCGGAACCAGGGGCAATGGCGGCTGTCGCGCTTGTAGGGGAGGCAGTGGGAGCGAGGGCAGTGGGCAGCAGAGGAGCAGAGCCATCCAACAGGACAGTTGACGCCCTCACCTCCTGCGTTCCCTCCAGCTGTGATCCTAGTGCCTCATCCTCCTCCTTCTCCTCGTGTTCTGCCTTTCCCTTATTCTCTGCTCCAGACGAAACGGGTTCCTCCGCTTGTGTATCGCCCTGTGTACCATCACTGATCCTTACACTCCCCCCACTTCCCTCCGCACCTACCTCTGTACCCCTTTCCCCACCCCCCCCTTCCCCAGCACCTCCCTCCGCCTCTGCACCCCCTGTGACCCTTCCACCCCCTGTTACCCCACCAACTTCTGTGGCCTCTGAACTCTCTGCACCCCTCTCAACCTCTGTAACCGACTTCTCTTCCTTCACCTCCTTAATCTCCTTTACCCCCTTAATCTCCTTGGTATCCATAATTTCCTTCACCTCCTCCTCCTTAATCTCTTTTACCCCAGTAATATTTTTAGTCTTCTGAATCCCCTTAACCTCCTTTATTTCCAGAACCGCCTTTTCTCCTGTAACATCCGCAGTAAGCCCTGAAATAGTCACAGCGGCTCCTGATGGTCCTGCTCCTCCTGCTCCCCCTGACACCCCTGACACCCCAGGCAGCACAACCTCACCGCTTGCTGTTCCTCGCTTGAGCGCCTTGGCAATCACACCCACTCCCTGGATGGAAAACGGGATTCATTCAAACACAGGGCGTGGTATGGAACACTTAAAGCAAGGTGAACTTTAAGTTCATTCCAAACGCACCACAACCTCGCCTCTTGCCGTCCCTCCCTTGAGCGCCTTGACAATCACACCCACTCCCTGGATGATATGGAGCACGGCAGTTTATCATAGGGGGGAAATAAGCGGATATGAGCGTGGTGAGTTCGCACATCAAACCATCAAGTCCTCTCAAAATCTACCCCAAGCACTACGAACTTGCCACTTGCTGCTCCTACCTGGAGAGCCTTTGTAAGCACACCCACGCCCTGACTGATCTAGCACACAGAATTCAGTAAGAATAAGGGACTTCACTCACCATCCACTCACCATCCACCCAGCTCAGCACCGTGTCGAACCGCTTTCCACCCCTCAGCACCCACCTGCTTGGCCTGCTTCTGCAGTAGAGCGTTCGTCTGTGCCTGCTGCTTCAGCAGCTCCTTGTTGCCAGGATCAAGTGATAGGCCTTGGTTGATGTCTGTGGTGTGGGTGGAGGGTGGAGGGTGGAGGGTGGAAGGTGGAGGGAGGAGGGGGGACAAGGATGAGTGATTGGGCTTGTTGGTTGCACCTTTTGCCACTCCATGCTGCTTACGCAACTTTTGTTGCCAAAATCAAGCGAGAGGCCTAATGTCTGTGGAGTGGAGGGGGTTGGGAGGTGGACACAAGAAAAGGGGATGGGGAGGAGGTGAGGATGGGATAGTGTATGCCGTGCTTGCTGCTTCAGCAATTCTGCCTTGTGAGGATCAAGCAACATCCCTTGCTTTATGTCAGTGGTACTTCACCGAGCCTCACCGAGTCTCACCGAGTCTCACCGAGTCTCACCGAGCCTCACCGAGTCTCACCGAGTCTCACCGAGCCTCACCGAGTCTCACCGAGCCTCACCGAGCCTCACCTTACAGTTCAATGCATCGACTCAATCTGAACCTGAACCACGCTGTAGCCCTCACCTCACGGCGAGCACCTTCACATCTCACTGTCCCCGTGCAACAAGGCAAGCTTGCTCACGCACACTTGAAGCAGCAGCACCATTGTCACCGCTTGCCTTGTTGCCTTCGCATACTCATCATTGCCTTCTCATCGTTGCCTCTCGTTTCGTTTCGTTGTCCTCGTTGTCCTCACCTCACCTTGCAGTGCCTCAATGGGCCGACTGAGCTTCAACCTCGCAGTACCTCTCCGCGAGCGCCTTCACATACTCATCGTCCCGATGCAACCCAACAAGGCAAGCTTGCACACACTGGCAGCAGTAGCACCAATCCAACGCCTCTGTGCAACAAGGCAAGACACCCCACCTCACCTTGGAGTGCCTCTACGGGTCGACTAAGCTTCAGCCTAGCAGTGGCCCTCCTTGCTAATGCCTTCACATACTCATCGTCCCGATCCAATGCTTCTGTGCAGTCTGCCTCGGCCTCCTCGTACCTGATACAGGCACTCTCGATACAAGCACATTAGATCAAAGCACATAAACAGTGAATATTGCAGTATATCAAGATCAGTTCGAGGGCTTCGGTGCATTCCTCATCAGCCTCTTGGTACCTACCCACAAGCCTCATGACTTTCTTACCAAATGCCACGGCAATCGGATGGAAGGGCTGGTGCCCCATGCCTTACTTTTCATCCCTTTCCCTTGTCTTGTCTTTTCAGCCATACTACCCGACCTTGTCTCACCCTTCAACCTCTCTCCCTTGTCTCTCACCTGCCCAGCTTCAGTGCTGCCATGGCTCGGTTGGCGAAGGCGACAGCGGTGGGATGCAGGGCGTTGGTGTGGGAGTAATAAGAGAAAGCGCGCGCGGGGTATGGGGTTGAGGGTACAGGGGCTGCTCTCTCACCTGCCCAGTTTCAGTGCAGCCATGGCTCGGTTGGCAAAGGCAACAGCAGTGGGATGGAGGGCGATGCTCTGGGAGTAGCAGGAGAGGGCGTCCTCGAATCGACCGGCCTTGAAATGCTCGTTGCCCTGATGTTGGGCGCACAGAACGCACACAGACACGCACATAGGGACACAGAGACACAGGGTCTCAAGGAAACAGCAGTGGGATGGGATGCAGGGCGATGCTGTGGGAGTAGCAGGAGAGGGCGTCTTCAAAGCGACCGGCCTGGAAATGCTCGTTGCCCTGATGAGAGCAAGCAAGCACAGACGCAGAGTGGGTTTGAGCTTTGAAACACCTCCGAGTGAGAGTGGTGGGGTCATATCATAGAATGAAGGGCGATGCTCTAGGAGTAGCACGAGAGAAGTTGACTAAAGAGGTAACCTCATCCTACGATGGAGGGCGATCTCAAACCGGCCGGCCTTGTAAATGCTCGTTGCCCTGACGGCAGCATGCATGGACACACGCACAGACGTGCGAAAGCAGCGAGGCACAGTGGGTTTGAGCTCCAAAACACTTCCGGGCGACAGCGGTGGGATCAAGAGCGATGCTACGAGAGTAGACGTTTGAGTTGACTCAACAGTTGCTCAAAGTGTAACACAGGAGGGCGCCCTCAAATCAAATTGGCCCGCCTTAAAAAGGATGCCTCCATGCCTCCAATTACCACTTTTGAATCCCAACTCCACTTCCCGCATCTTCCATCTCCCCCCGATCCCTTCCATCCCTCTCCTCTTCCCTCCCACTCCCTTCCCTCCTCTCTCCCCACTCACCCTTTCCTTCTCCCCTGCAGCAGCTGCCTCCATGCCTCCCCTCCCCGCCCCCACACCCCCAATATCGCCCCCACCCCCCTCTTAATCACCTCCTTCATTCACTCACCTCCCTCCCATCCCATCACTCACTCCTTTCCTCCCCACTCACCCTTTCCTTCTCCGCTGCAGCAGCTGCCTCCATGCCTCCCCTCCCCGCCCCCACACCCCCAATCTCCCCCGCATCCCCCTCCCCCCCAACATCCGCTGCTGCTGCCAGTCTGCCGATCAGCTCCGCTGCCCCTCCTGCTTCCCCAATCGCCCCTGCTCCTCCCCCACCGCTGCTCCCTCCCCCTCCCCCTGCTCTTGTTGCTTTCGATTCCACTCCTCTTGCTCCCCCACCTGCCGTTGCTCCGCCTGCTGCCCCCCCACCTGTTGCTTTCCCACCCGCTGCTGCTCCTGTCGCTCTGCCTTGCCCTGCTGGCTTCTTGCTGCCGCCACCTAAGAAACCGACGTTCCAGCCTGGCGCTGACGTGGACGGCTCAGCGTTCACCTGAGGAATCGGGGGCACAATGAACAGACATCCTCAGCTTTAGTCACGTCATAATAAGTTGTTTTTTGTGACGCCTCAACAACAACCTACTATCACCTGGGGAATTGGGGGCACGATGAATAGACATACTCAGCTGTAGTCAACGCACAGGAGGGAGGGGAAAGCGCCAAATGCACTTAGTCAGGCACTAGGGGTCCACTTCCTGGAAATCAGTGCTATAAAAAGTAGCTCACTGTGTGCCTGACTGAGTGCGTTTTGAGCAGCTAATACCTCCCTTAACCCATTTTTTCCCATAAGGAGTATCCCTCCCTCCCTTCCCGTCACCGAAACCATAGCGCACACACAGGAGGGGGAGGCGGAACCCTGTGCTCTCGAAAGTAGTCCACTGTGTGCCTGATCGGCCGCCCTCCCCCTTTTTCCCCTTTGCCAACCCAGACCATTCCCCACTTTCTCTCACTGCAGCTATAGCCAACGCACAGCAGGGGGGGGCAGAACCCAGTGTTCTCGAAAGTAGTCCACTGTGTGCCTGATCGGCCGCCCTTCTCCCGTCCCTCCTGCTCCTCCTGGTGCTGTTGCGGATGATGACGGTGACGGCGATGATGTGGCTTGTGCTGATTTGTCGCTTGCGCTGCTGGGTTTGCCCTTGGCTTTCTTCTTGGCTGCTGCTGCTGTGCCGTCCTGAAAGAACCATGAAGTAGTTATGCATTCACGCATTCATGCACGCACCCATGCACCCGTGGACCCATGCATCCGTGCACCCATGCACACCCATGCACACCCATGCACACCCATGCAAGCATCCACGCACCCACACATCATACACATACACATACGCATACACTTACACATACGCATCGTGCGCATGCACATGCATGTAAGCATCATGCATTTACACGTCCACATCGCACCAACATGGATGCGCATGCACAGAGAACGGATGGAAGTCAAACGCACAGCAGTAAGAACCGTTAACCTTAAAGCGCTGTGCTTTTGAGTCGACTCAAAAGGGCTGTGCGTTGGAATTCTGGTAGTCTATGCTTGATCTATGCTATCACTTATCCGATTTCTAAACGCCGATTCAACTAGTCTGGCGGGGTAGGCAGAACCATCCCTACCTTGGCTTTCCCCGCCTCTTTATCCTTCCTCCGTCCCTTTTCAGACTCGCGCCCCTCGCGGGTTCTACCCCCGCCTCCGCCGCCCGGCCGCGCCGCTTCCGCCAGCTTCTGCCAGCTGTCAAGATCGCGGAGCAGATCTGCCATGCTGACGTCACTGGCGTCACTACCAGGATCTCTCTAGCCGTTTTACGCGCGTCGCTTATCTGACATTTCTCAGTGAGCTCTCTAGACGTCGTGGGGGAAAAGGAGGCAGTAAGTGGGGGGAAGGAGGGCGCTAAGTGGGGGGAAGGAGGGCGCTAAGTGGGGGGAAGGAGGGCGCTAAGTGGGGGGAAGGAGGGCGCTAAGTGGGGGGAAGGAGGGCGCTAAGTGGGGGGAAGGAGGGCGCTAAGTGGGGGGAAGGAGGGCGCTAAGTGGGGGGAAGGAGGGCGCTAAGTGGGGGGAAGGAGGGCGCTAAGTGGGGGGAAGGAGGGCGCTAAGTGGGGGGAAGGAGGGCGCTAAGTGGGGGGAAGGAGGGCGCTAAGTGGGGGGAAGGAGGGCGCTAAGTGGGGGGAAGGAGGGCGCTAAGTGGGGGGAAGGAGGGCGCTAAGTGGGGGGAAGGAAGCGGTAAGTGGGGGGAAAGAGTCAGTAAGTGGTGGGAAGGAGAGCGCGGTAAGTGGTCAGTAAGTGGGAAAGGGACGAAGCGCGGTAAATGAGGGGAGGGGAGGGAGGGGGAAGCGAGGACGACGGGCGGGGCGATCAGAGGGGAAGCGGGGCACGGGAGGGGCGATGATAGGGGAGGCTAGGGCGATGGCGAGGGGAAGGGATGGCGACGGGGAGGTGAAGGGAAAATGGCGACGGGGAGGGGAAGGGATGGCGGGGAGGGGAAGCGAGAGCGACGGGGCGGGGCGAGAGTGATGAGAGTGTTATTCGAGCGAACTGGGCGCAAAAATCGCCGTGCGAAAGAAAGGCGACGCTGTACTAGTTTTCTTCCAAAGACTCCCATGTAAATCGCCACTCATTATAGAGAAAAGGGGTATATCTATACATCCCATACCTTCTACGTACAACCCTTTCTACCCTACAGCACAACTACATTTACATATATGTGTACGTTGACATGACAAATCTCATCCCTGTCGTGAAGAACCAACAAGATTACGTCCTCTTTGAAATCCGAGTCTGCAGAACCTCGTCAGGGTAGCATCACAAGCCGTATCTCATTCAAGCCTCACAAGAACCCCGTTATGGGCCATATATTCCATTCTTCCATGTCAACGTGAATTTCCCAATAGTGGAAACGTTTTCATAAGGATGACTTGTGTTCAAAGGTGTACAGTCTGTTCGCCTTTTAAACTTTCAAAGGTGCTGGCGTCATCCCAAACCACAGCTCTGGTGTGAATGGATGCAGTTCGTTTCAAAGAATCTTCGGGAGGACAATTTAAAAATTTTGATGTCCGCTTGACGGGGGAAACAGTCCCTCCATTGGTCGAACGGCCGATCAAGGGGTACGAGCGCGTCAGAAGGCCAGATTTTGCATTCAAAATGTGCGGGAATTCCCTCCCTCGCTGAACTTCGTTCACACGTCGCGCAATCATTCACCTCGAGTCGAGGGACCAGCCTACGCAGCCCTGAACAGTACGGTTTCACGGGGGCGTCCCAGACAAACCCCCATGGGCCGTACGCTAGGGGTGCTTGTGTAAATGGGCGCGAAACACGATCCCGCTTATTACAAGTCACCTCACTGGATGGCGGGCGAGAGTCAGCGGAAAATGCGAACGCAAAATTCCTCACACTCGAGCGACCCGAACCAGCCTTGCCTTGACGTACGGAGCCGCTCTCCGTTTCTCCTTGACATAGGCTCGGCATGCCGAACCAGAACCTAACACAGTCGAAGCGAGATACCCTGTCTGGGTGCTTCCCAGGGCTTGCCTCGATCTGGCTAGCCAATCTTTCTGGCAGCAAGCGCACGACGGAGAGCACAGGCAGAGCCCTCAGGTGCTGCATCGCAGCGCTCTGTTTCGCAGACATCGTTCGGGTCCCTGGGCATCAGAAACCCGAGCCTACTCGAGGTTTGGCGATGGCACCTCACCAGCACAGCCAAACCAATCGCTTCCCACGTAACCCCCTCCCTACAACCAAGGCCTTCCATAAATCCCACAAGCCGAACCATTTCTCCGATACAACTCACCTTTCTCGCTCTTGCCCAGCCACCTCCAAGCACAACCTCCCTCACTTCGAATAATTTTCTCGTCTGCCCGCCTGTTCTCCTTGCTCAGCCTTGCCTGGCTTTTGACGGGAGTCGTAAGGCATACGGAAGCATCAAAACCCTCATTTGACGGTGATTTTGCGTCACTCTCACGAACAACCCCAACACTTGAAAACAACGGAGCAACAGCCCGTCGCTTCCAACCAAACCCAGATTGCCCAGCTCGTTCCAGCTGTTCTTCCACTTCCCCCCCCTTGCCTCCCAAAGCTACCGTATTTCTCGTTCAACCTCTCTTGGTGGAGGGTCTTTTGCCAGATTCCAACCACGAAGAGCAACGCCAAACTTCTAGCGAATTTTAGCAGAAGCGAGACTAAACAGAGCAGTAGTCCAGCATTTCTCCTGCATTCGCACGACCTGCATCGTCAAGTACCGTGCAGCTCATCGTAAGCCGTTACATCAAGAATCGGAGCTAATAAAAACACGCACAGCGCCTCGGAACCATAGGATCGCGTGGCAGCAGAAGATGGACGCGTCATCGGTGCTCAACCCGTGGAGTCAACAGGCCGTATGCAACCTCACGCGCCTGGCGCGCAGCGGCGGCCGCAACCACCGCGTGCGGATAAGCGCGCCGAGCGGCGGCGGAACCACCAGCGCGAGCAGCAGCCCGACGGACGGCGATGCTGTGCTGAAAGCGATCGGTGGCGGGGCGTCGCCGCAGCACGACGATTCGGGAGACATGTCCGAGCCAGGTGAGAAGCACTGAGGGTTTGATGCTCTGGGGGTTGATGGGTTCGATGCGAAGAGAAATGTTTGAGCGAGCGTGGGTGTAATGCGGGCCTCGTGAAATGAGAACGTACTTCTCGTTTTACTGCGCGCGTTGTCGTTTTTCCAAAGTACGAAGTGAATCTTCCGTTTTTCATGTTGTTAAGTCTCACTTCCCTTTTCTTCCTGCGCTATCTCCCACAGAAGTGACGTCCCCTCCTCGACGCCGCACTCGCGATCAAGCCTTCGACACAGCCTCGGAATCCTCCGAGCCGTCGATGTCGCCTCGCGAGCCGCCTTCATCGCCGTCCCGCACCTCCTCTTCGTCGATTCTCTTCCTCGGTCCGCCGTCCTCTGCCGTCCCGCAGACCCCCAACGTCATGATCCCGCCAGCCACGGAATGCCCGTACGCGCCGCGGAAGATGCGCAAGCTGGGCGGCGGACGGACGGCGCTGATGATGCGATCGGAGGGTATTCGCCGTTTGATGCGCGCGATTAATTTCGAGTAAATGCGGCCATTGCTGCTTGGCGTGCGATTACCTTCGAGTGAAGTAAAGCTGCGCGACACGGGACGGCGTCCTTGAGTGAACGCGGCTATTCTACTCAACGCGCGCGATCCACGCTTGCAAGCGGAGCCGCGGATTCTTCAATTAACTCCCTCTGACGGATTTCTGACACGGCCTAACACGCGATGCGCCGATTATCGCGGTTACCAGCGGCAGTGGTGAAAGCCATGGCGCATCCGATTGGTTCGCAGTACAGTCTCCTCCTCTCCCTGCGCTAAACTCTCTGTTGCTGACTCTTCCACGCTCAAGGAATGGGTGTTTCTGGTCTCGGTGGTGGCGCTGACGCCGCAACTGCATCGCATCTTCAGTCTGGCTCAGATGCTGCGGAGCTCGTTTCGTCACCACCAACCCTAACCTCGCCCCAGATCTCCATTTCCATTGATGCGGCTAATCCATTTATTTTAACATCTGCGCTTCAACGTCTCGTTCCTTTCACAGAATGGTCGCCTCTTCTGTGTACAGGATGATTACTCCCTCCTTTGTCCAGTCGGAATGGCTCCTGTTCTGCTTCCAGGGCATATACTCCTTGCACCTTCCTTTCTTTTCCCTTTGTTTTCTTTTTGTACACTTCTGCCCAGCTTTGCCAGCTTTCACTTAGCTGTGGATGTGGCTTTTGCTGTGGCATGATCATAATACTAAGAAGCCTCAAAGGAATTTGTTGGCTTCTCGAGATACTCTTGTTTACTGTCTGTTCTTTTGTTATAGTTTCGTTTGCCAGAATTGGTGTTAACATCAGTAGATCGTCTTACGGGTATGTGAAAGGGTTCATAAGGCATATAAGAGCACACTACTAACACGAACGAAAGCGGCGTGATCGCTTTGCAGTGCGTCCCTGCCTCTCAACTCAAGCATCCCACGAAAGAGTGGAGGCTGACAGAGTTGGAGCTGGCGATGGTTGGACCTCGAACCCGAAACCCCGAATCAGGGTTGACCTTCAGTTTCCTTGCCAGCTGCAGAGGAGGTTGACTTTTCCGATTTCGCTCGTGGTTGCACTGTAGATTTCCTTGAGCCTTGCTACGCGTCCCAATCCCAACTCCTTCCTAGAAACCGACGCGCTACGCCCAAAGGTCAGAAGGCAACTGAAATTTCACAGTTATCAAATGTGTTATGTTAAACAATACAGTTTGGCTCATTCCCAAGGTATTCAGAAAACGTTTTTACGGAGCCAGCATATAATGTAGTCAGTACTCAGTACGTAATATGCTTGGCGCATGAATTTCACGATAATTCTGTTTGGTACGAATTTCAGAAGGTACAAGTATGGAGTGTCCAATCCAAACCCTGGAACTCAAGTGGAGTCACCTCACCACCCAGTCCACTGAGTAATGCCAGGACGCATGCATGTCTGCAGTTCATCGATGGCAGGTCAACATCCATGGCCTTTACTCTTCTATCGAATCAACATCCAACAATACCGTAAGAGTCCCATACATTTTAGTTCCATCTGCACCGTAACTACAGAAAAACCTCCGGCCAATGCTCTAAGCACAGCGCTGGAACCATTTGCGGTCAACGATGAGTCCAACGTAAGATGACATACGGTACTTGCTCAAGGAGAACACACAGAATGCAAATCCCGCATACATGGCACTTCCAGCCAGACGTTTCATGGTCTCCTCATGCTACTAACA